ACTCTGAGCCTCACCCCTTGGCAAACAATCAAATTGTATTTTTGGTTGCCTGCTTATCTCCGTCTGAAAAAATGACTGGATTAGCATTTTTTGCTAATAGAGGCCTGTGATAGTTGTGTTTTAATGCTCATTAGTGGTAGCAAGTCCTGAGAGACAGGCAGAGCTTGAAATTGAAATACTGAAGACATGCTAAGGACTTTGTTTTGGATTAAGAGAGTTAAACCTGCTTTAAGCCTGCATAGAGAGAAGCAGAACTGCAGAAATGTACTGAGTAATTAGGATTCTTAATACCATCTTTCATAGCAGAGGCTTGCACTGATGCCACTATTATGATTAAGAGTCGTATTTAATTATGGGAACTCTTATTAAATTTCTCAGTTTCTCAGTGTTCTTAATTTGCATCTAGTTGTCTTACATGTTGGCAGCAAGAATTCCAGCAAGCCTTTCGTCTTCACCCTTTTTCCCTATCCCCAAATTCTGCTTACTCCAAACCTACTCTGAATCTGGTCTTTGGCATGGATTATGTTGCAGAGTGGTGGTCACAGTCTCACTGAGTAGGCAGAAGGACAGTGTGGCAGGAGAGGAGAAGTGTTTAGTTCCTCAGATTGAGGAAGAGCAAGATAAATGTTAACTTGCAGCATGCATTAGCGTAAAGTTCAGTTGAGACACAGTACCCATTCAGGCTTAAAACTGAACTAGGATGCAGTTGGTGGTGTAGGGGACTTGGGAGAAGGATTTTATAGTTGCTTACTGACTGCTGCTTCGCTTTAGCTAGGTTAGAAGTATTCACCACCATCTGCAGTAGCAGTAGGGTGTCAGGTTTTGAAATGGAGCTTTGTTTTTTGAACTTGCAACAAATACACTTCAGCCTGCCCATGCAGTGAGTTTTTGGGGAGGGATGTTCTTTCTAAGGGCAACTTTGGACCAAGGGTTCCATTATATAAAGTACATAATGGGTGCAGTAGTCACAACCTTCTGGATTCCGTTTTGCCAACTTTGCCCCCTCCTGTTTCAATTTACCTTTTTTTCTATTGAGTATTCCTTGAAAGAGAGGCTGATTAGTTAATTAAAATAAATATTTGGGCAGCGGCGCTCTTGTTTTTTGAAAGGGAATTTAAGATTGTCTTCTCCAGTGTGTCTTTTCCACGAAGGAATTTTTTTGACTGTCCAGGGAAGATGGTGAAGCTGACTGTATGAAGCCTGAGTTCTAATAACTGTGCGGTCAGTGTGAGGTGCTGCAGTATGATAGCTGTGAGATTTCAGGAAAAACTTCCTTGCTACATCTTCATCTCTGCTGAACCTGACAGTACTAGTTTTTAGCCAATAAAAAAAACAACCTAAAACAAAATAAAAATATTCAGGATAAGCTGACAGCAAACCTGCAAGCCACTTCAAGTTTCTGAACAGCCGTAATATGATAGTTTTAACTACCAGCCTGGGTAGGATTACCTCTAAAAGTGAAAACTACCATTTCTGCTTACCTATTCAGTTCTGCTTTTTGCCTATTTCTTCTGTATAGAAGGTAAATAATTGCAAGAACTGAAAGCAGCTGCTTATCTTAAAATGTTAGACCGAGGTGTTAGCTCCTGAGGCCGTGCATGCGGGGAGGGAGCAGCACCAGGTTTTGAATTTGCGCCTCTGTTGTGCGTGTGGATGATACTGGAAGCTAACCCGGCTGCCTTTTTCCACTTCTCCCCAGGGTATGGACAAGACTTGAGTGGTTTTGGACAAGGTTTCTCTGATCCCAGCCAGCAACCCCCTCCCTATGGAGGCCCCTCGGTGCAACCATCAAGTGGCCCACCTGCAGGAGGAAGTGGTTTTGGACGAGGACAGAACCATAACGTGCAAGGATTTCACCCCTACAGGCGCTAGCGTGGGCTGGCAATCAGGGAATTCTGTCCACACAGGGATGTCTGGTACCAGCTGAACCCAGGAATCCCAGACTTCTGAACTTGTGACAATCACATACTTGATGGAAGAAAAACCTAACAACTTTTTTTTTGGGGGGTGGGGGAAGATGGCTTCTGAAGGCAAAGCTGTGGGTGTTTGGACTGCAGTTTTTAAATATTTTCCTTTCTCTAACCCATCAGCACAAATAAAGAAAATGTCACTGGTTCAAACTACAGGGTTTTAAAAATGTCTTCAGCTTTAATTCAAAACTTCAGGTTTCTTTTTTTTGAAATTATTTTTCCTGAGCCTTTGTTTTACCGTATATTGTAAACTTTTATGTTTAAAAGAAAAAAATATATACATTTACAGATTGTGAAATTTTTAAGAGAAATTTTCTACTATGTATGCTGGCTTATTTTTTAATTTAAAACAGGGTTTCCGTTAGCACTGTTGGAAGTGAGGGTAAGCTGCAACCCCCTTACTCCTGACATTAGTGGTGGGGTGGATGGTTCAGAAACTCTGGGAGTTAAAAGAAATCTACTGAGTGTATTTTGCTTTTGTTACCTGATGGTATAGAACTGGTAACAAGGCAGGTGCAGACTTGTTGACGCACAGAGTCACTTATGAAGCGCAGTGTTAGATCTGTGCTTCAAACGCTTTCAAATCCTCTGTGGATTTCATTAGGGGTTAACGGAGGCCTTGTTAAGATGTAGATTTCCCTCAGGCAAAAGGTTTAGGTGCATTTTGCACTAACCAGTGATTACCCCTGGTTTGAATAAAGAGAAGTACATTTGGATTAGAAACACAAGCCTGTCTCCATTTTTTTTTTTTCTTTTGACAAAAAAGTTTCTTGTGAATTTGTGTTTTCATGAGAAATCAATTGGCAGCCTTGAAAATCACGTCTTAACATCAGTATACAGGCTTACGCTGTGCCTCAATGGACTGTTAAACTACTAGCAGTGGAATTCAGTCAGCACTTCTTCATGCCCACTCAACTCTTGCCCTCTTCATGAGAGAATCAGCTGTGCTGGTGCAGGGTCTGGGGTGGCACTGTCGGATTTGCTTTGTAGAGGCTGAAGAGCCGTCGCAGCTGTTGTGGGCTCTGACCTGGATTGGATTTGACGTGAAGGGCTCTTGCACGGAGTCTCCTAAACCTGCCGGTGTGCCCATCGCCAGAGCTGCAGGCGGCTCTGCACGTGTTAGGTCAGTCGCGTGTTGATGGCGGTGATGTTGAATGCTGCTCTTCATCTGACCTTGAGGCTTCAAGGCTCTGTGCAGAACGCATTCTTACGAGCTGCAAGGGGCACGTGTAGGTATCTCATGGATTTGTGCACCTCCAGGAGAGTGTCCCTTGTCTCTCTCTCTCCCTGCTTCTGAAATCCAGAGGTAATCTTGCTGGTGACGTGATCTGCTGGTGCTTATTCAGGGCTCACGTTCATCATTTCTGTCCTGATGCAGTAAGCGTGCTTCTGCTACCTCAGGTTGATGATCTGGTTACCGTGTACCTCTTTTGGGGGGAGGTTCTCTGTAACTGCTGAGAGCAGCATAAAATGGGTAAAACATGGATTTACGAGCATCTTACAAGCATCTTACTGTGTGGATTAGACCGGGGTCTTCTGGAGTACCGCTTTGGCGTTTGTCTCATTTAAATGCGGGGTTGAGTCCATGGGAAAGGAACGGTTCTAATGTGGTAAATGAGCACCGCGCACTGAAACTGGTTGTTGGCTCAGAGGCAGCAACATGCCATGTCTTGTCTGTCCTTTACACGCGAGTCTGAGGGCAAGCTGCTGTGTCAAAACCAAACCTTATCCGAGGAACCTTCTCCCAGGGCTTGCGTACTGCTGGGTGTGCGTCTATGCTTATTAGTTGTCTCCGCTCTCGTTAATCGCTATTAATAGGGCTTACCTCTTCGAGAATGGATAGCGCACTGTTGCAAGTTTAAAGGACTCTTTTTGCAGGAGCAGATGTGGTGTTGCTCAGCATGACTTCAAATTCAGGATGTGTTGGGATGTATCCGTGGTGCTGGAGGTCGCTGGGTTGCTCTTGGAAGGACTTTGATCAGTTCAGAGGGGGGGGGTTTTGTGATTTGTCTGGATTGCACCAGTTCCGCTCACTGTGAATCCTCTTGGCTCTGCTTCTCGCTCTGTTACTTCCACGAGCACAAAGCATGCGGTGCTTCCCTGCTGGAACGGGAGCCGCTCATTTTGCGTTCCGTTTGCAGAGGTGTAACTTGGTGCTCTGCCTTTGACGTGGTGCGACTGCTTTGACTTCCTCGTTGAGGTTTGGTTTGTAATTTACCACTGTGCGAAATACACCCTGGGAAATGGTATTAGTATAAAACCATGGCACTTCCAACGGCACGCAGAACGGAAGGAGGCCTGAAGTTGTTGCTGCTCTGCCGCCTTTCAAGCTCTTCTCGGATAAAAGGTTTTGGAGACGGATACCTTCTGTGCAGAACCAGCTCTTCCAGGTTAGCGCGGGACGTTGCATCTGTGTGAAATTGATCTCCGCCCAGGGACAAACCCAATCGACCTGTGCCGAGAGATGAGCTGTCTGTCCTCGCTTTCAACCCTCCTCTCGGAGTGTGAGCTGGAAAAGCTGCCCTGCTCCTGGTGGGAAGCAGGAAGGCAGTGGAAGACGAAGATCCATCGGTGAAAGATGAAGGCTGGGCGAGGGATGCGGCGGTGAGGTCCGGCGCCTGGCTGCAGCAGCAGGTAGTAGCTGTGCCACGAAGGTGACTTCAGCATCCCTTCTGCAACGTTTATCTCTCCGGTTTATCTCCTAGGGCTCTGCCTCGAGCTCCTGACCCCCCTCTCTGCCCTGCGTGTCCCCTGCCATCTGCCCTGGGGAAGGAGGAGTGGGTTTTGGGGGGAAGAGGAGGGTCTGTCCCTCAAACAGGACCCTGTCCCAAAGCAGAGTGTCCCTGCTCCGCCCTGTAGCCGTTCTCTGCGCCAGCGCCAACCCACACCCCGCCCCCGCGTTATACCCGAGCCTTCACAGTAGCGCGGGGCGCGGCCCCTTTAAGGGAAGTGAGGGCGGAAGCGCTGCTGGAGGTTGCGGGGGGCGGGGCTTCCCGCCCTTGCCGCCCCGCCTCAGCTCTCGCGAGATCCGCCGCTTCCGGCCCGAGCGCGGCCTTTTCCGAGGAGACCCGGCCAAGATGGTGGGTGCGGGCGGGGGAGCCGGCGGCTCTAATCGGGCTCCATCCTCCGCGGGGGCGGCCCGCAGGGGCCGGGGCCGCCGCTGCCGCCGAGGACGGCTTGGTCTCTTCCCTGGGGGGCAGGGGGCTGCCCTCCCCTGGGTCCTGCCGGGGCCGGAGCTGCCCCGGCCGGGTTAGGCCTCAGAGCGGCGGGAGCCCGCTTCCCCAGGGCCGGGCCCGGCGGCGGCGTTGAGGATCCCGGGGAGGGGAGGAGGGGGGGCGAGCGGCTTGGGGGCCCTGCGGAACTCGGTGCCTGCGGCCTTCCCGTGGATGTGGGGGGGTGAAGGAGGGTCTGGGCGGCCCTGACACTCCCCCCTTCCCCGGTGCTGCCGGCTGTAGGCGGAGGTGGAGCAGAAGAAGAAACGAACTTTCCGGAAATTCACCTACAGAGGGGTGGACCTGGACCAGCTCCTCGACATGTCCTAGTAAGAGTTGTCTGCGGGGCACTGCCCCCCCCCGGCCTGGGCTTGGGGGGCTGGGGACTGTTCCTGCGGGTTGGGGCAGCTGAAAAAAAATGGTGGTTTGGTTGGGTGGTTCTGTAATTTCTTGAGTGGGTAAGGTTGCCAGTGCGGGGTCCCCGGGGGAGTGGGCTCCCCTTGGGCTGCGTTCCAGGCTCGGTTTCTCCATCCCTTCCAGCGAGCAGTTGATGCAGCTGTACAGCGCCCGACAGCGCCGGCGTCTCAACCGGGGTCTGCGCCGCAAACAGCACTCCTTGCTGAAGCGCCTGCGTAAGGCCAAGAAGGAGGCACCGCCCATGGAGAAGCCAGAGGTGGTGAAGACCCACTTGCGGGACATGATCATCCTCCCCGAGATGGTGGGCAGCATGGTTGGTGTGTACAATGGCAAGACCTTCAACCAGGTGGAGATCAAGGTGAGGCATCACAGCAGCATCCCAACAGCTCAGTTCCGAGCTGAGCATCTGAATGCATCTGCGTTATGTTTTTTAATGCTTTCTGTAATCCTGCTCCTGCCCTCTGTCTGAGGGGGAGGGCGAGGCTCCTGCTTGGAGCAAAGCCAGCCCTGAGGGACACCTGAAAGCATCCGTCCTGAGGACGGGCTGCTCACAGAGGGGTCTCAAGGCTTTGGTGTGGCTTGGACGTAATGAAATAACATGGCAGTCGGGAGCACGCGTGTGCTGCTGCTTCAGGAGGGCTGGGGACGTGCAATGGCTGCGCTCAGCCCTGGCTCCCTGCCCACCAGCACCAGTTTCGGATGAAATAGATCTGTGAGGTTTCCTGGGAGTGGAATAACCTGCAGGGTGGTGTGACCTGATACCACTAGTGTGATTAAATGCCGCTTTCGGTTTGTACCTGGTGTTAGATCCAACCTGAAAGCGCACCGAAAAGCCCCCGAGGCTTGTGTCCCCCTTCTCCCGGGAGGTGCAGTGCTGGTCAGGGGCTCTGGGAGGGCAGAGGGAGCCCCTTATCCTGCTGAAGCCCTCTGGCCCCACACAAAACCAGCAGCACCCGTTGGCCACAGGCCCTGGCCACCGCAGGAGGAGCCCAGACGTGGTGACAGTGCCGTGGGCAGTGCCTGCTCCATGCATGGCGTTGTTGGAACAACCGGCTGTGCCAGGGCTTCTGCCAGCGCAGGGATGAGGGTTGTGACCGTCCCCAACCTGCCACAGGGTCAGTTTGGGGAGGGGGGTTGTGGTCTGTGCCGCTGGCCTGGGTCGCTGCCTCCAACATAGATCTCTTCTTTCCCTTTCAGCCTGAAATGATCGGTCACTACCTGGGGGAATTCTCCATCACATACAAGCCAGTGAAGCACGGCCGGCCTGGCATCGGTGCCACCCACTCTTCCAGGTTCATCCCTCTGAAGTAACGAGGCGCTGCTGGGAGCCTTTTATATGTGTAAATAAAGAGATTTCTCCCGGCTGTTTCTTTCCTGGCCTTGTGGTTCCTGGGGCTGTGGGCTCACGTTGGGGCGGGCTGCGGGCTGGGGCACAAGCGAGCAAAACTTAATCACGATTTCCTGTTTTCCTGAAGGTTTCCCTTTCTTGGTTTTTTGGCACTCCTTTTTGGTCAACACATGCAGCAAACACTTCTCTTCAAGTGGGTTTGGTGGATGAAGGAGAATTCCTTGTGCTTTGCTGGGAAGTGGCAAATGGCACTTCCATGTTATTTTATGGCACTTCCATCTATTTAATTTCATTTTGAGCGATGTTTGTGTTGCCCCAGGCAGGTGACAAAGGATGTGCTTGCCAAATTGAGAGGTGGGTGGGTTCCCAGGGCTTCAGAGCCAGCCCCGCTCCTGGGGGGGAGGCCGCCAAGGACACCGAGATCCCAAACAATTATTTTCTCATCTTAGATTTGTGGATTCCAAAGGCTTTTAGTGTCTTGTTGGCTCAAGAGTGGTGGTGGCTGGGGCGGGGGGTGGCGAGCTGGTGGTTCGCAGCTTGGGCTGAGAGGGAGGAACATTTCCCTTAGTGATTCTGGGGGGAGAAGCTGCTCTTCAGTACAGGGTGGGTGATCCGGGGCAGATGGATGATCCAGTGCCCCCAGGTCCTGGGCTGAGGCTAAGGGAAGCCGGCCAGCACCTGATGGCTGAACCGAGAGCCGCTGTCAGTGCCAGGGAATGGGGACAGGGATGGCCGGTGTCCCCAGCTCTGAGGAGCCTTTTGAGGTGGTGGCCTCTCCAAAAACCACTGGGCCAAGTCTCCAGCCCTGGCGGTGATGGGAGCCCCAGCACTGCCATGCTCTGCGAAGCCAGGGGCTGTTTGTCACTGTCCCTGCGGCTCCTGGCTTGCTTGTCTCTGGTTTTGCTCCTTGTGTCACCCCTTTCAGCACCACCACCACCACCCTGCCCCGGCACGTCTCGAGCATCGTCGTGATGGATGGGTTTTGGCACAAGCTGCGCTGGGAAAACCTCGCGACCTTCAGGCAGGCAGTGACGCGGGCGCACAGCCGAGATGGTGGCAAACGCTCTGATGGTCTCATCCAGGTTTTACTGGAACCGAAAAGCCATGCCTTTGCCCTGCAAGGCCTTGGCACCGGGAGTGGCTGGGCTCAGCACCAGCCCCAGGCTCTGGTTGGATTGGTGCAGGCCGTTGGCAGAGGGGAGGGTGGCAGCGGGGGCCATGCCTGGGGGCTTTGGGACATGCTGAGCTCAAGGGGTGGTTTTGGCAGGTCCCTGTCGCTGGCCCTGAATGTGTTAGGGGGTCTCTCGGCACCTGGCGCCAGGCTTTCGGGTCTTTTAAACACCCACCAGCCCTTTCCTCTTCCCTGGTGATGCTGTGGCATGGCCGGGACCATTTGTCCTTCAGGGAAGATCTCCCATCACGGTGCTCAGGGTCCCTTTTGTTCAAGAAATGTGACCTTGAGGGTCCTCGTGTGGCTCCCACTGGCATGGGGGGACAGGGCTGGGGTCACTCGGTCTGGTTGAGGCTGGGGGTGCACCCTCAACCCCCAGCCCTGTCCCCACACCCCTGGGGGAGAGCCAGGCCACCCCAGCCAGGCGGTGGGTGACGGTGGCCTTGGCATGCGTGGTGCAGTCGTGGTGCACGGCACAGGTCACAGGCAGAGCAGCAGGATCAGGCCTGGGGCTGGATGCGACCCCACGTGTCCAGCCGGGCCCTGCTCGATGCTCCTGGCTGGGGGGGGAGGGCTGATCGGCCAGGGGTCCCGCTCCTCCCGGGGTGATGCCAGGCTCAGTCCCGCACCAGGCAGAGTGCGACCACCCCCAGGGCTGACCCCCCCGCACATGGTGACAGCCCCGGCCGGCTTGGGGGCGGGGGGTCAGATTTGGCCCCAGGACAGGAGCAACGGGGCAGATCCTGCAACCCCCAACGTAGGTTTTTTTGGGGGGGGG